AAACACTATCTACAGATCTGCAACGAAGCGTTTCTTGTGATAGTGATTTTAATCACTGTTATATATCATCCATACTGAACCCAACTATGCTACGCCCCCACTGTGCTCGGTTTTTTATTTTATTATAAGCAAGAATAAGACATATTTTGATTGTATTAATTAATTTTTATTTTTATTTATTATCTCTTAATTACAAAAAAAAATAATTGTAATTTAATTTATTTATCCCCCAAAAATCTTTCTTGAGTATTAGTATTTCCTTAGCTTCGTCTTTCCATTGATTTTACATTCTTAGCAACCATTTTTTTTATGTTCTGTCAATACACTTAACATTAATGTGATAAAATGAGATATTATTATAGTTATATACAAGATTAAATATACTTCAAACGCCCAAATCAATTTTCAAAAATTTTAATATAAATTAAATCTTAATTATATTATGTAATTAGAATTTCAAATGCCCTAAATTTTCTTTGGAAACTATCTTGAAAATAATGTCTGAAATTTTACATTTATGTACTAAACGTTTTTAATGCATACTATGTAATATCAACTTTTGATAAATAGTAACAATAATTTTATATTTGTGTTCGATACTTTATGTCAAATTTACACTGCTTTAGTGTAAAATAAACGTGCATTTTAAAAATATTATACAGATGTATTAACATTATTTTGTTTTTAATCATTTCTTACAGTGAAGCTCAAAATTAAATATGTACTAAAAACGTATTGCACATATTTTAAGACCTAAATAAAAATCAATTTTTTTTTAATCTTCCACAAATGTATAATTTTTTATAATTTAATGGAGTTTTGTAATTAATAATTTTGTAATGATCTCACATCAACAAAAGTAATACACTTATTAATACAACTTTAAGGCGTAATATATAGGCAATAAAATTTACAATTTTATTGCAGAAGTAGTTTTGTATCTAATTAAACAAAATACTTAAGTCCACTAAAATTTCTTGACAGAATAATTGGTACAAAAATGTTTTATCTTTTTAATTTTAACTATAAATTATTATTTGTATCGATAAAAATCTAAGCTTGGTATTGCATATGTAATACTAAAGTAATTTTTTTTTTAGTTATATTTAACTTAATTTAATTAAAAGTATACGTTAGTACACTTTTAACAAAATTAACCTTCTACTTTCAAAACTAACATGACTTTAACAAATTAAAAAAACGTGTTTACTTAGCCAGCCAATTTAACAATAATTAAATAATAAAAAGTTATAGATTAAAGTATACAGTTATTGGTACATTTTCAACTGTTTATTTATTTATTTATTGCTTAACTCAACGGGCGTAAAGCCCTTTACAAAATATATAATGATACACAACAGACAAAAATATAAGAAGTCGCATGATAGAATACAAATAAAAATATTTACATAGTCTTTAAAATATAATAGAAACTAAAGATAAACAATTAAAAATAATGATAAACAATTAAGAATAATAATGCTACAGCAGAGTTGATTCTCTTAGGTACAATAAAGTTTTTGATTTAAAAAGTTGGCGTGATAAATTAAAAAAATCAAGTGAGTGTGATATTTTATTGGCTACTCTAAGTGCTCTAGGGAAAAAAGAAAAAGCTCCACTATTTGTCTTAAAATGAGGAATAACGAATAAATCTAGGTTACGTGTATTTAAAACAGGGATTCGAAAACCAATAATTTCTAGTAATTCAGGACAAAGAATATGACCATTGAGAATATCAAAAATAAACATTATGTCCGCTAGAGTTCGTCTGAGGGACAGACTATCAAGGCCAAATGTTTCCTGTAGTGGAATAACTGAATTTTTCGAGTAGGGAAGATTTAATTTGTATGAAATATTTTTAAGAAACTTATTTTGAACATTTTCTAGTTCGGCATAATAGGTAGAAAGATTTTGCGACCAAACAACTGATCCGAATTCTAAGTTAGATCTGACCAATGAAGAAAAAAGTGTTTTCAGGCACTGCAGGTTACTGAACTCATTAGTGTTTCTGTTTAAGAAACCAAGCATTTTATAAGATTTGCTGAGGATTGTTTTATGATTTATTTTAAAACCAAGATCATTGTCAAAATAAATTCCTAAATCTTTAATAGAATTAACTCTCGACAAAGAAAAATGATTTATTGTATAACGATGAATGAGGGGATTCCTTTTGCGAGTAAAAGATATTATTTTGCACTTATCTATGTTAAGAGGTAAGTAATTTTTTTCACTCCATAAAACAAATTTGTTTAAAATCAATTGAAGATTTGTTTGATCAATAACAGAATTTATCTTGCAGAAGATTTTAGCATCATCAGCAAATAATAACATGTGTGTCTTATTAGAGTCATCCAACACAAAATGGGGTAAATCATTAATAAAAATTAGAAACAGCAAAGGACCTAAGTGGGATCCTTGAGGAACCCCCGAAGAGACCTGAAAGTTATAAGATGTATGGAATGAGATTTTGATGGCTTGAATTCTATCAGTGAGGTACGAGTAAAGCCATTTAAGAAAAGTACCATCAATACCAAAAGATTTCAATTTATAATATAGTAAGATATACTATATTTATTTTATATATATTATATTTTTTATTGTTTAATCAATAAAAGATGTTGTATTGGTTTTTAAAATTAATTAATTTTTTTTATAATAAAAGTACATAGTTCTAAAACACTCAAGCAGAATTTTGTTAAGTACCAGTATTGACAACGGGTGAAATATCGTACCAGTATTGGAAACTGACCATTGACTAACCAGTACTAGCGAATTAATGGCTGGCGTCTTGTCTAAACTGATCCAGTATCTGTCTGCCAAAACAGACATGTCCAGAATGTCCAGAACAGACAGAATGTCCAGTACTGATCTATCAGTAGAGAAACTCATCCCAGAAATATGACAGTGTTGATTTAGTAATGTTGTTAATTTCTGATTAAGAATAAATGTTTACAATTTTTCTTGTAAAAGACTTGTTCAAGTCATTTGGTAAACATTTATTAAATTAAAAAAAACGTAACCATATGAAGTGTGGGTCTCAATGTGACAACAAAATACTTTAAGTTATAAAATCAACTAAATAATAAATACATTATGATAAACTACCTAAAGTACTCGTTTAGTAACATGAATTATATTTTCTTGTTATTTGATCAAAAAATAATTTGAAATATTACCATATAGTAATTATTTTGAAATGTATCAGAGAGACCAAATTAACATTATAATCAATCCGGTGAAATATGTCTATAATCAAAATTAATGCTCATAGATACTAATATTAATATTGACCCAAATAAAAAATTGAATTTACTTTATAGGATAGGTCTCAACAATTAGTAAATTATTCACGGTAATTCCTCAAAAAATAAATAAGCGAAAAAAATTATGAATATTAAGAAAAATGAGTGAAAGCGTCTTAACATTTTATACGAACTTCATCAAATGCATTACAACAATTAAAAAATATTACAAATAGTAAATATTTTCCATAATAATATGATTATAACAATCGAATTAAAATTACTGATTTCAGGTTAAACAATGTTATTTAGTAAACAATTTAGATTAAAAAAATTATCAGTAACAACACCTTTTATATTCCAACAAAAAAATGATCTATTCATAAATGAACACCAAATTCCTAAAGACAGTAGACTAAAAAAGTTTGTTCATTGCGGTTTAAAAGGATTTATTAATAAGAACGTTTCGATTAGTTATTTTTTATATTGTGTAGTATTTAATAGAGCAAGAAAACATTATGAACGTTATAATTATAACGTTTAAAACGAAAAACAAAAATGTGTGATATTAACAAATGTAAAATATCGTTGAACATAATATAACTTATAACGTAAACAATTCTTATTAAAACAGAGATAAATTATTTATAACGTTACAATTAAAAAAATTCTATCTGAGAAAAAATTAGTCATTTGTCTATTTTAAAAACTACTTATATTAGTGATTTATGTTTCAAACCATTTTAACGTAAAAATGTATTAACGTTAAACGAAAAAAATTGAATAATGTTTTAATACTAAAACTTTAACATAAACATTTATAACATAAATGTTAAATAATATTATAATATATTTAAATATTAAACGAATAAAAAAATGTAAACCATCTCTTGGTACTTAATAGTTTATTATAAATAGGGAAATTAATATACTTTAAGTATTTTATTAAGCTATGAGGAATCATTTTAGAAGTTAAACATATATTTTTAGGTTAATATTAGGAAAATACATTTCACTTTTAATTATTAAAAATAGTTCAAGTAAAATCTATTCATTAAATTTGACTATTAATATATGACTGAGTCAATAATATTTAATTATTAAATTTTTACAAAAAAAAATATAAATTTTGAATTATTTAACAATTTTTATCATATAATTGAATGGCACTCAAGTCGACTTCCAGTACACTTTTAAAAACATATGTCCGGATTTTCACATACATGTACTGGAAGTTATTAATGCATACAATGTAAGCATTATTATAAATAGTGACACAATAATGTTATAATTGTGTTTGATACTTCATGTCAAACTTACACTGCGTGTGTGTAATTAATGTATAAATAAATGTACATGTAAAAAATGTAGTTAATGTGTTAAATAAAATATTAAAAATAAATCAGATTGAGAATTTTTTAATTATTTCTAACAGTGTATATATTTAATTGTAATTTCAATAAAATAAAGGTGAAATTGCTGTTGTCAATATATACTGACATTTGTAATGTTGTAAAAATAAGATAATTTGAACCCAAATACTGTTACAAAACATTTTTCTAGATCACTTCTATTACAACAATGTCGTGAATTTCATCGAGTTACATAGAATTGTAAATTTGAATAACCAAATGAATTGCGTCGTAAAATTATATTTTAGAATAAGTATCTTTCGTGTCATCTTGTGGCCAAAGTTTTTCTCTAAATAATAAATATTTTCAGCATATCGCTCTAGTTAGTAAACATTAATACAAAATATTCAGGCAAACAAACATTTGACATGAGTCATTGTTTATCACAATATCTATAGCTGATAAATAAACACAATACAAAATCACATACATTAACTTAACAGTCTATATATAGTTTTATATAGATATCGTGTATAATTGTTGCAAATTAAATATGATTTTATAAAAATTGTCAATATTATCTTTTTTGTACGACCATCTACGTATTTATTGTTAAGTAATATAATGACTAACTTAATCACTTATTAGTCACAACTATTAATAACTAACGAACCTTATTATTTTTAATCGACGACACGTATACATTTTTTTAAGAAATGACGACAATTTAACTGAATTTGGTTTTGCGAATGAATTACGAGTGTGTAATTCGCCTGCTGTTCAATGAATTCATCTTGTTCATTTGATTTCACTTAAATAAACCAACGTGAACGAATGGATATCGAACGGCGGTTAAGTGTTGCAGCCTCACGCCCAATGTATTATCGACAAACAGGGACTTGTTTTTGGAGTTAACCAAAACTCCGCCTTCGTGATTGTCCGGCAATGTGACATCAGGATCCACTTTGATCGATGGGGCTAATCCAGTCATCGTGAAATAATCTAATTCGATCGAAGGAAATAAAGGTTCGATCAGGGGTACATCCTTTGGTCGAAGTACTAGATTGACATTCGTTTCCAATAGCTAATAATAAAGAAAAATAAACAAAGTTGTTACATTAGACACAATCAAACGAGTTCATTAAAGAAAAACTCAAATTTTATTTCAGTTAGGTTTTCGATAGTCTTCGATATGTCCTTTTTAAGAAATGAATTAAAATACTCATCAAAGACGCCTGAAAAGTATTTTAGGTTTCTTACTAAGCATTCAAATAAACTATTCTTTTTGGCTAATTTGTTAACAACTTTCATACTCAATTTGTAATGTTAGTAACGGTTTTTAGTTAAGATTTTAAACATTTTTACCCGACACATTGACTGCATTATCAATGACTGGAGTATGGCGGTATAGTCTTTTCGATTGTTTTGCAATGAAATCAGTCTACTATGGACGTCTACAACTATTGATTTGACATAATCGTTTTTAACGGTCAAAATTCTCATTTTAGCTTTGCATTTTATCAAATTTATAACACTGCAATCAAACATTATATATGCTAAATGATGAAAATTATATGAGTACAACCACAATGTCAGTTAACTTGCCTCGTAGTCTGCTTTTCCACTATAGCTCTCTTGACAGCGTACTGGCGATCTACTTCTTCGAGACCTCTATTCAGCAGTATACCAGAGTTACAATCGTTAAGTCCTTCATTGTAGATAACGCTGATTTTATCGTCGGTGTCTCTTTCGATAAACCTTATCATCTCTTGAATCCTCGCTTCGGTTTCGTGTTGATCAAGACTGGTGAAGAATTCACCGACTTTAAAGGAATTCTGCAATTTCTTTTTAAAAAACATTTTTAAGAGCCATAAAACGCACTAACAACACGAAATGTGTCGCTAAGTAACTGATTTCACGTGATTATTAAATGTAAATTAATTTTTATGCATTAATGTATTGAAGTTTTTCCGCGATTTAACGCCATTAGTCATATTTTCACCCTCCCTGTAAATTATAGTCGGATGATGTCATTCAATCCGTAATGTAACCGACTGCTGCTAGCTGGAGTGTACTCATAATAATAATAATAATAATAATAATAAAGAGGAGAGTAGTCGCAGAGATGACTAATAGTCGGCACAAAGGGTAAAAAAGCGAGTATGAATGGGTGTACGAGCGTGCGGCACACTCGCACGGTTGTTTGAAAAGGGATTTTTGGTTTGACTCATCATCTCCCCCATTTAGCGCAGGCCCCCTTGGTGTGTACAATGCACCGGTCTGTAAACGCGGGATTAAAACCTGTCGAGAATCAATCGCCGGGGACTTGAAGTATCCACCGCGGAAACCCAAAGAGACAAACAACACACGGCGAGGGAGAGAATTAGTTTCCGGGTCAACTCGGATAAGAGAGCGCAAACTACAAACAACGTCCTAATCCTCAGACTTACGTGCTTTTGTACCGCATGTGTAATTAACTGCGGACGGACCTCATTGAACATAAAACGGTTTTACAGTCATTGAAAAGGCGTTGCTCAATAGCTCTACAGTTGTGTATACTGTCAACGATTTTATGTGTTTTTTCACACCATCTAATACTTTTTTTAACCTTAGCCAGCACGAGTAGTAGTGAGAAACATTACTCGCGTTGTTTATTCAGTACAACATTTGAATTACCAGGTGCACCGATTGATGTTTGCTGTAATAACGCGTAGACACGTTATTCATACTATTTAATCAGTGAAATTAGTTATCAAGTCGAATTACTCGAGAACCATTGCATGGATAATCACGAATCGCAATTACCGTGTTACGCCATTAACTTAGTAGATAATATGTAGAGAAACGTATAATCAGGCATTTTAGGAGGGACCGATGCAGCGATTAGATGACAATTACATAAGTCGCCATGAGAAAACATGACAATTTGTACGATAATTGTCGACTCGGAAGTACGTGAAATTACATCCGCAGCGATTACCGAATCGTTTAAATGCAATAGATAAATGTAACGAACTATTGAAATCGATTATCGCCTACGCCAATTCTTTTGTTGGCAATGATTAGGCCGGACGTGCATTTCCCATCAGCATCCTGTAGTAAACGAATTTCTCACAAATCGTTTAATTAAAATACAAAATCTATTTGAATCGTTACAGTATGGCTAATAAAACAATAATCAATAGTGTGTGCACACGGTGTAAGGTGCACACCTATGGTATGAATCACTCGACGAATGCGAGACGCAAAATTTTTATAATTATTATTACTGTGATTCATTAAAGCAAACACGCGTGTACCGTGTCTATACAAACTATATATAAGTATGTAAACGCACAACATCGGGTTTTGTAAAATGAAAAAAAAACGTTTGTTTCATTATTATTAAATATATATATATCTAGATATATATTATATTAAATTTGTATTTCGATGGTAAAACATAAAATACAAATCACTACATGGACACAAATTAAAAAAATAATAATAATAAGATTGGATACATCATAATTCTAATATCTATAAACACAGCCTTTACTTTTGTTTAAAAAATAATTATGTACATATATTTTTATCTTTTCAATGACGACATTAATATAAATAAATATATATATATAAGTATATATATATATATAATTTATAAATATATATATATATAAAATTATAATAACGGTTTAATTAAAAAATAATAATAGTCTCAGCGGTATATTATGTACAATTTGCAAGACTAGATAATGCTCGTTTTTCTCGAATCGTGTCAAGTCTACCATTGTGTCCAACAAAAGCTCAATAAAGTTTCTTAATTGGTACATTCATAGTTATATATTATAATTACAAGTATATCTATAACATATACGCACAATAAACTTTCGTACATTCGTTAAAAACTTTTTTTTATGATTTTATTAAATTTTTTACATAGGTATTTGCGCGTGAGAGCATATAACTAAATATAGGAACACATTAATAGGTTGGAATATCTCGATGTAAATAATTATATAATCTTAACATGCCCTAAGCGGGGACGATTCCTTGTCTCTGCCTTGTTTATATAAATATATAATTTACAGGTGTGCAATGAAAATAAACGCGATCCCGACCCGCTCCCTCCAGACGTCTACATCGGGGAAGCAGAAGATCATGTGCTGCATCCCGGCGACAGTTCGTCTGCCGTCGACTGCTGTTGGGCAGCGGCCCAAGATTGGCCGCAACGCGGTTGCTGCTGCTGCTGTTCGTACTGCTGTAAGCTTTGCTCCAGTTCCAGCAACTGACCCATAAAGTTAAGGTTGGGCGAGATAATTGGCCGGGCCGCTTTGACCGTCTTGTAGGCATCAACCATGGACATTTTTCGGTGGCGCATCACGTAGGCAATGGCAATGGTCGGCGAACGGGATATGCCGGCTTGACAGTGGATAAGCACGCTGCCTCCCGTTTTCCTGGCACCTTCTACAACGGTAAAATAATAACCAAACATAAGAATACATTATAGCAAACGAGAATACAACAAATAAACAGACCAAAAGAGATTACAGGAGGATTCGAGGGGAATAATATTTCGACTCGTCATTTTTGTGAAATGCGTTATAATAACGATACGTTATTTAGTTTAATGCCGAATCAATATTGACTGAGTGTAAACAGGCACACAGCCATCTGCACACAAACAAGGCTCAAACAAAAAATGACTCATCGAGGTTGTCATATCGTCAATAACAGGAGCGTTTTGATATGTAGTAAGTGTGTGTGTGTTTTTAGGATAATTTTAGCGGATCGCCGGGCCAGAAATAAACAGACCACGCGCGGTGTCCGAATTTGGCTGAAAGTAACGGCCGTGGCCAGATCTGGTAGACGTCCAGCGTATTTTAGATCGAGGTGCGTGCAGTGCCCCAACTATAATGGTTTTAATTTTGGCCCAACGCGTGTGTCTATTTCGGGCGCCATCCCAAATCCGACCGATTACAAACCCCACCCGACACAATTAAGTTCTAATTCGAGATTTTTAACAACATCATGTTGTCGGCGGCATCTCGCGGCAGGAGACCGTCCCACAGTTCTAAAATTAATAGGCCTGGAAACAGGAGCTTCCGTGACGTCATCTTGTGCGGGTCTCGTCCCGGTGACCAATGCAGCGGGTCACGTGTATGTAGTGCATACTTCAGTATTACAACAAAACATGTAGGGGGGTTCGACGGAAAGAAAGGGGTTGACACAATCACAGGGCCAATTACTATGCTACGCGGATATGAGTCATTAGTCGAAATTTGGCAGCTCTACGGGCCGTTTATTATTTTTGAAATAATAAAAAACAACCGGCATCGATTGCCGGTCAAATCGTCGTGTAACGACGGCTCCAGTGTGAACAGCACCGTGTACATGACTCACTGGAAAGAGGTCGTGCGCCGTTATGCTATAAATGGCTAAAACGCGACCGGCGTGTTCGTCGTCCAGAAATCCGTCGTAGTACTTGTAAGTACGTCTTATTCAAGTGGCCCAACCCGGTCCCTCCCCGTTCGGCCTAATAATTTAGAGTATTACATTTTTAAATACCGGTCGAATTGATGTTATTGTTTTCTGCAGGAAGGGCGGTCCCGTTTCCGTACTCACGTGGCCCTTCCGTTATTGTGCCGTTGACGGGAGGGACATTAAATGTTTTTGAAAACAATATATACACAATAAAACTCGGTCAAATGGGTGACGTCATTGAGGACCCTGCGTGGTACAGCTGTCACTGTGACTCACAGCCCAATAAGGGAGGTTGGGTCTCGTTTTCCCGCTTTTTTTTATAAAACCTACTGCTCGTGACAACCCTAGTTCCATTCGTCTACGATTAACAGGCATCAACTGTAACCCTTACACAATTACCGGTCCTCCAAAACCGCTGTAATTTCGCACGTTTTACAGTGGGAAAACAATGAACCATAAAACGACAATTCAATGGAGTACTCGAGATTTCATAAAATAAATTATAAATCAAACGAAAACAATGAACAGGAAGTTTGTTTTTAAAAGGAAAACGGGCGTTTCTGTGACCGCCCGTCAATGTAATCAAATGGATTATTTTAATTACCGATAAACTCGAAAGCTTCCTCGAAGTACTGTTTGAGATTGGCGTGTCCATTGTCCAAAGCCGACAGTCTCTTGTACAGTACACCGGCAGTGCGACGATCGCCCATAGGTGGAGACGGCGACTGTTGGCTGGTGGTAACGTTTAAGACACGAGTAACGCCAATAGCGGACAGGCTGGCGTGATCGTCGGCGTCCTTGCTGTTGCCCAAGTATAGGAAAGGCAGCACTTGGGTCAAAGGGTGTTGGTCCATCATTTCGCTAGTAGATTCGGCCGGGCAGCTAGTACTGCTGAGCGGCGAGGGCAAAAGCGAATTTTCGCACAAATCTTTGTGCCGCAAATGAAATTCTTTGTGACCACCTGAAAATATAAAAAAAACATTTTTTTTACTACATTCGACACACGCGTATTTAAAAGATTCGATTAACGTCATATTTCCGCGAGTGAAACTCTCATGGGTTAATTTGCGGTCCCGTCATGAGTTAAACCAGCCAGTGGCCAGCACACATCGCTGGAAATAATTCGTTATTAATCCTGTCGGTAATGGACGTGAGTCATTGCGCGAACATTTCTCTATGTGCGTCTATTTATTAAACGGAGAACCAGTTCAATACTCTCGTGTGTGCGTGTGCACAACAGTGGGCGACTCCTAATTGTTGTTTTGTAAACAAAATCATCTTTCGAACGTGCAAACATTGTGCGAAAATTCAAAGGCAAAATCAAGTATGATGAAATAGACCGTGTACATCATAAACGAGTCGAACCGACGTTTAAAAATATACGCTAAAACTTCATTTCTAGCTCGAGATTATATCTGTCGCCTAAAATAACTTATAAGGAACTGCGACACGATAAGAGCATTTCAGACAGAATTTCACACATTTATAGATAACGCGGACGACGGTTGGTGATGTACGAAACGAAAATTCGTGATGTCGAACAGTAAACAACGGCCGGTACACTTTGAGAATAGAAAAACAAAAAATCTTTTACAATAACAATAGGCCATTAAATTCAATAGAAAAAAAAAATCCTAATAGAAAAAATTCAAGTACCTGAACGAGTTCTACTCCAAGTGGGACAAGCGTCCATGGAAAGCTTGAGTTTTAGTGTAAGTTTTTTATGTCCGATGGCTGCAGTCATTTTCACAGAAACAAAATCGAATATAGTTTTTATGTTATCAAGAACTAACAATCGAGCAATTCAAACGTATTGAATGTCAACGCGCGAGTGTCTAATAAAACAAACAAAATTCTTTTGACAAAGTATGTTCAGAATATAAAAAACGTACGCGGAAGGATAAAGTGATAAGAAAAGAAGCGCTGGGCGACACACTCGTCCGACAACCGTGAGCCGAGTAATGAAATCTGTGGCACGGCGGCCGCACGCGGTCCTCCTGAGCTAACGGCGATTGTGGTGGGAGGTTCGACACATCATACGAACGTACTGCCAAACCGGCTGCGGGTATCGTAACCTCTCGTATTAGTCATCCGACCTTGTCTCCCTCCGCCGCCGCCGCACGTACACCGATTCTATACCCCCGCGATCCACAGCAATCGCATAAACACAATATAATATTATACACACCGTGTTATTTTCCGTAATGTATTAATATATTTAAAACTATATTGTTACGCCGGCTAATCGATTCAATTTTCGGAGGACCCTTTAAAAGGGCTGCTGCAAATCGAATAAAATCAACACTGTGCAACGATTCGTTTGCCCGTTGTGACGGGAGAGCACCAGAGAAATCGAGAAGCCGGAGGACTACTAGTAGGGAAATGTGCGCGATAATAACCATAATGCTGTTTTTTTTTTTATCCTAATCCAAAAATGGACAACAAACGTCATTATACACATTTTTTGCGACTCATTTCGTTGTTTTCCACCGCGAAGACTTAGAGCGCACGTTGTTTACAAATGGCGGCCGCTCGTCACAGAAATAATAAACGACGTTTTTTATTCAACACTCGATTCCGGTTAGCTTTGACTAAACTTTCAAAACACCACCGCGTCATCGACACTTGCGGGCTATTGACCAACTAGCATTTTGTTGTTCTGCACAATCGATAAACAATCTTGTGTTTTTATATTATATTATTCGTCTATTTATCATTATATTTTTTTTGTGCGCAAATCGCACCATTGAAATGCGATACAAGACTCAAATTTCGAATTCGAATTTCATTTGTTTTTACCAATACCGGAAATCGCAAGCGCCGCCACGTTCAACTATTTTTAATGACTAAGAATATTTTGTATTTAATTATATTTTTAGTTGCCTACGTCGGTATAAACGATTAGTCTGATTTATGAATGAAATATACGTGCGACACTTGTATAATAAATCCCCTTATGTTAATAAGCAAATATTACAGAAATGGCAAATTTATAATTTTTTAGTCTCGTGAAGGTCAATCGTAAATAGAACAACACGTGAAAGAAATAATGACTCCATACGAATCTATCCATTGATTTAAAATTTACATTAATAAAGTTTGTTAATATACTTAAGTTTGAGTTCGCCCATTGATCGACTAGTATTTATTTACACCGCAATCACTAAGTCTTTGTAATATGTAACAAAGTTTAGTGTAATGTTTAATGCACGCCAATTTATTCTCATCTCCCAGGTTAAGTACTTACTGTCACAATGGGGTTCAAGTATCGCACAAGATATAATTTATACTAGTCAGCATTTTTCCATGACACCATATTCTATTAGCCAACATTAATAAATATGAGTTAATTGAAGAATTTCGTTGTTAGTTTGAAAATTGGACAATTAAATAACGAACAAAATTAGATATATGACAATCATAAAATACTAACAAGCCTTATACCAATTTATAAACTCAAAACTAATTAAGCTTAATTGATTGAATTTAAAAATTTATTAAAAATCAATATGGAAATTTGGACTAAAACTAAAATATGCACACGATTAAGACTGGATTCCATCAGTGATACATAAATGTCAATAATGTGCGAGTAATTATAGTAAAAAAAAATAATAACCGATTAATAACAATAAACACGGTTAAAAACGTTGATTCATGAAATAGATATTTTACTATTTTCTCATTATGAATAAATTCCACGTGTGTCATTACAAAACTGCTGAATGAATTCAACAATAGAACAAGAATCCGTGTAATCGCGTTACATTATGAAGTAATTCCGGTTGCAAAAAATTATTTCCATGAGTCCTAAGGGATATTAGTATTCGAATGGTGGACAGAGCCTCGGCCTCTGCGTGTTCTTGTAGCGCCAATATTCTAATAGACTTTTAATCAAATTTTAATTCGACGAGAAACATTAAGCGTTATTTTATTTTATTAGGTATGAGATAATTGTCTCACCGTGTTGGCATTGAGCTTTGAAACGTTAACTCGTAGAGGAAAACGTCTCGGATTAAATATTTGAGCCTACTTACAGGCACACAACAGCCCCTCCCCATCCGCTGAGCGGTACGTTAATTATGTCTGGTATCGTACTTTTTTCATTACTGTGCAAACCGGTTATGGAGGAATGACAAAATTTAATGACCTTGGTAGGGCCACGAGACTTTTATACTTGTTTCCTCATTTTTTCCTCGCTGAATCAGAATGACCAGTTTCCAAGAGAAACAATAAAATGTGCAAACATATAAAGTTACAAATGAATCACACTCGGGGCGGATACCCGACAGAGTTGTCACCACTCCTTAAAACTGTAGAACTACTTGGAAATTGATTTAGTAGAATTTAGTGCGTGTACGACGTGCAGAATGAATTTTAAGGACCCTCAAAAAACGACAAGATGCTTTTCTAACTTCAAAGTAAAAATATGAAATTATTAGAAACGACGCAATATCGTCCAGAGAATTTAAAAATAGAAAATATGAAGAATAATTTGTTATCTCTTATCGAAAACTATTTATATTATTGTACAAACGGTAGCTAATAGTTGGAACGATTGCGCGCAATGTTTAAGAAATCTGTGTAATCATCACATATCAGTATTTGGTGATAAAACAATAGAAATTGACTTTGTGCTACTATACTGTTGATTCATTAAAGGTAATATAGACATATTGCATGTATTGGATTTTGATAACGTTTGAAGATGAGAAATATAACAATACCATCTTATCTGCCCGATCGAGTATTACTCATCGCGAAATGGAATTCTAATAATTTTCATTTGCGAACAACAAAAGCCTAAGTATTGATTAAGCGATCATACACGATGTACACGCAATAAAGTTTCAGAGCTTAGCGGTCTAAACAAAAAACCAACCAGTGGGACTACCGAATTTAGAGTGTAATGTCTTACACAATGCATACATGTCAACTCGGTGACCATATCAGATAAAACTTTCCTCCGGAAACAAATTCAACAAATCTCGATTCTTCTTGTCGAAGAACAATCGACTCACCGCGGAGGACTCGTACTACACATGACGTAATTTTTCCAGTATGATATCATGAACACTATTTTTACACAGTTACTACATTGCGTTTTATTATTTACCGAGCTCGTCATTGTGCACACATAACGTGACAGTAGGTGCCATTTTATCGCGTACGAATTACACCGGTATGTTAAACGTCTCTAGCCTTGTACGGCGCAAAAAAAAACGCTTTGGACATTTACCCGTATTGAATATGCCCGTCCGACCTACCTAAAGTTACACGCGTTTCATTTGAACATCTGTTAACGCAAACTTGGTCGGCTTCTCAGTAAAGCCCCTACAGCAAGTTCGACGGAAAAACATTAGTCAGTAAAAAAGGCGTACACAATACAACAGTCGAGTAAAGAACATTTTGGGATGCGACTCACGCTCTATTAATTTTTAGGAGTGTTTTTGAGACACGTTTGAATAAAATTTATCTGGTTTTCATCTTATTGATTTCTCATCAATGAAAATCGTAACTCAGATATATTATTGAAATGTGACATTGATCAACTACAAATTGCAGCGCCTCAACACTTTGATTGGCCGAGGCAAATTGGTGCTGCTGCAAATTATATTTGCTGGTTAACGACGGTTACCTTGAGTGAATAATTTCAAATACTATTCCACTGACGGGTCATATGTTATCATGGAATCTAACGACGAACCATAATAGTTTTCAAGTAAAAAACTAAACCGCTCGTAAGATGGTAAACACACATAATGCCACGAATTGTACAACAAAATGTATCTATATCTTCCACGTAGATTCCTTTAGTTGACTGTGTAAACAAGTCGCTAATTTATCAAGAATATTAAGACACGTCGAAAACCAATGCTGCAATAGCTACTCTAAATAGCATACTATGATTCACAATACACTAAATAAAACAGTTCGGCCGCATCGTATACTATTTGAATA